GTGTGTGTGTGTGTGTGTGTGTGTGTGTCGCCGTTTCCTCACCTGGAGCAGAAGGTGTTGCTTGCAGGGAGGCCAGGGTGTGTGTGTGTGTGTGTGTGTGTTGCTGTTTCCTCACCTGGAGCAGAAGGTGTTGCTTGCAGGGAAGCCAGGTGTGTGTGTGTGTGTGTGTGTGTGTGTGTGTGGACCAGGGCTTCTGGCACTCGTGGGCGTCCATCGACCATCTCTTAGGCTCACGGTGATCTTGCTCTCACCAGAAAATGAACAAACAGGACTTGCTGAAGTGCAAGTAAAAAAACTTTTAAACTTCTAGCTGAAAAGAATCAAAATAAATTGGTATGAAAACCCCGACGGGCACTTCATGCCTGTTGCTCGGCTGTGGGAATGCGCTCGCGCACATGGAACAGTAGCCCGCAATCACCTCACCTCAGTGCTCATTCTTCTCGGCTGACTGGCCAAGCCAGGTTGGGTTTGGTTCTGGGGGCCAAGGACCACCTTGGGGCATCTCGGCTTAAGCCTGTGACTCTGCTTACCTGAGAGAAGCTCCAACCTGCACGGGTCCAGGGGTCCCTGCCTGCAGTGGGTCTAGCTTCCCCCTGAGTCTCCTTGTGGGTGTCTGCACTTGGGCACAGGTGGGTGATGACAGGGCAGTGAAGGAGAAAGCGGGTGATGCTGACTCATGGCAGAAACCCATCGGGTGGCTGGCCAGGCACTGGCCTTTGACGACTGGCCCCGTGCCCAGTACCCGCCTACAACTGTCAGTGCTGGCTGGTCCTGCAGAACCAATCCCAGGCGGCGGCTTCCCGGTACCCAGGCCGCCCTGCCAGGGACCCAGAGTGAACACCCCGAGCTCATGACCCTGTGGAGGGCCCACCACTCACAATGGACTTCCCCTACACCCCCAGCTCCTCCAGGCTTCAGGAAAATGCCTGTAGAGAGCAGGAATCTTCTCCAGGGAGAGGGGGGTGAATTTGTGGCTCTGAACTTGTGATGAGAGTGGAGGTCAGGTCTGGGACTCAAAGGAGGAAATTAGAGGTTATTGAAAACTCCATGAATAAAAACTCCTATGAATAGAAAATATGTGAGAAAACACAGACTGATTCATTTTCATATTTCATCTATAATTATGATGCTGAAATCAATGAGAATCTGTTAGCAGAATAAATGTGCCTGTGACAGATGCCTCCAGCTGGCCCATGGCCCCTTCAGTTGTACAGAACCACCCCATTCACCCTGGAATAGGTTACCCCTGCCCCTTTCTAGCAACTGCAAAATGGCATCTGAATTAAATATTAAAATGCAGTGCACCTTAATACATGTCCTTTAACCTCAGTCTCCTGCTACCACATTTTCTTGTAAAGTATTTTGCAAAACACTGGCAATGAGGTGACTCTTTCTAGTTTATGTGACAGCTGCTTCTCTTTCTGAGCTTTAAAGTTTGCTGTCTGGAAAGCGGGGGCAAAAATAGGGCTCTCAGGAGCCAGGGGTCTGGCAGCCCAGTGGGGCTCAGCTGACTTACGCATGGAAACCACCCCTGGTGGGTGCAGCCTTAAGAGAGGAGCTTGTGCTTTTTTAGATTCCACATAAAAGTGAGATCATACAGTATTTGTCTTTGTCCGACTTATCTCACTTAGCATAATGTTCTCAAGGTCCATCCATGTTGTTGGGAGAGGCAGGATTTCCTCCTTTCTCTTGGCTGATAATATGTTGGCGTAGGCACACAGCACAGCTTCTTCACCCACTCACCCACGGATGGACGCCTAGGCTGTTCCCTGTCTTGGCTGCCAGTGAGCATAGGGTGCAGACTGTGTTCACGAAGCTGAGGTGCATTTCAGTCCCTGAGGTACACACTATGAGGTGGGATCTCTGGATCCTGGGTAGATCTATGGGCAGAGACGAATGGTGGTTACCAGGCCCTGGGGGCTGGGGAAGCAGGGGATGTGAAGGGTGCAGATGACAGCGAAGGGTAAGCACAGCACCGTGTAGGGAGTAGGTGAGCACCATGGCCACCACACTCACCGGTAGGGAGTGGCACTTGGAGGGCGGAGCACCATCAGTGGCCTTGTGGGAGGAAGCAGGGAGCAGCACAGAAGGGCCTGGGGTAGGGCCGGGGTGGGGGGTGGGCAGGGGGCAGGCTGGCTTCCCTCCAGTGGGAAGAACAGACCCCTGGGGCCTCCCCCGGGGCTGGTCCACTGAGGGCCAGAGGAGGACGTGACCGAGGCTGTGGTCTGGGCTCGCAAACTGCAGGGAGGAGAAACATGAGGTGTAGTGGGGGGTGGGGAGTGGGCTAAGGTTAACAGGTCCAGGCCGGGCTCTGGGATGCAGGGGAGGTTGCCCTCACCCAGTCTCCCTGCAGACTGTCTCTGCTGGGGCGGCCAGGCTGGGAGCTGGAGGGTTTTCAGCCTGAGAAGCACGGGGAGAGTCGGATGTTGACAGACAGACAGGGTGACTGCTGCGTGCTCACCTCATCTGGCTGGTGCCGCTCCTCCCCAGGGCGGGGGTGTCTCGTCTGGGTGCCTTCGCTCAGCCTGTGGTTTCTGGCGCTTGCTGACATCGCCCCTGGTGATGATTCAGTGTGGGCGGGATTCCTGAGAGGTGACAGGGCCAGGGATTCCTGTGGCTCTGTTGTGGCCTCCGGCAGCTGGAAGCCAGCACCAGAGCCCACTGCCGCACGGGGAGGCCCGCTCTCCAAACCAGACGGCGCAGCTCACTGTCCCGGCCAGGCTGGCCAGGACAGCCCCGGCTGTCATGACGTCCGCGTGACCCTCCATCAACCCATCTCTTCCTCAGCTCCCCGCCTTCTTATCCTGTGGAGCACGGCGGTGCAGATCCCCCCAGGACTGCTCAGGAGTAGGGTCAGCAGAGGCCCCAGGAGGCCGGGGGCCTGGGATGATTCCCCATGAGCTGTGGTCCCTGACTGTCAGCCCCAGCCTCGCTCCGCCCACTGAGCAGGGGCGCTGGGAAGGCCGGGAGATGGTGGGGGCCTCTGTGGACCGGCTCGGGAATGCATAGCAATAAGACGTTTCATACAAGGGGGGATGCGGTGGGGTTCTGTCCGTCTGCATGGATTTTGAATTCATTCCTACAGTTCTGTACACCTAGAACTTTCTTCCAGCCCCAGGTACTGAGACTATTTTAAGAACAAACATTTTCAGGAGAAACGAAGAAAGGCTGAGAAAAATCCCAAGCCCATCACTGATGAGGAAAGATACTCTCCAAAACCAGCTATTTCAGGGCGGGGCCCAGACCCGGTGGGGGCGGGGCCTGTGCGCGCCTCCTGCGGTGGAGGAGCCCCCAGGGCTCCGGGCCACTAGCGGCTCACAGGTGAGGTCACCTGCCACTCAGTGGCCCACAGACAGGCAGGATGGGCGAGGGGCTTCCAGGGGTGTGGGCTGCGTGGGATGGGGATGCTGAATGCTGCACGGTGGTGTGACTGCGAGGGCCAAGTGGGATCTCGCTCACAGTGCTCGCCTCTGTGCCCCTCACACTGCAGCGCTGGTGGGTGCCGAGGCAAAGTCCACCTGGGCCATGCTAAAATGTCGGCAGCAGCGAACAGATGGAAGCTTGGGTCAGAGACTGACCCAGACTGTGCAGGGCTTCACGCTGACCCCTTGGGGGCATGCAGGACCAGTGGGAGGGGCAGACCCAGAGCTGGGACACCCAGGTGAAGAGGCTGACTGAGGGCCGGGCTGATGGTTTCGGACCCCAGCAGCTCCAGGGCAGACCCTGGGCTTGGCTCTGCCCCATTCTTACTCTTGCTTGTGATTCTCTCCCCATTTTAAGTCCCAGGTGGAAGGCTGCTCCTCTCTGGTCTGCCACTTCCCTCTAGAGCAGGACCTCCCATCCCCAGCTGGTCCCTGTAAATGTGTGGAATCCCTGGGTGGTGTTTACCGTTCTGATGGAAGATGAAGTCCTTGAAGGTGGGACCACATCTGGCCATTTGATGTCCTTTGCAGAGCCAGGTGAACAGGTGTCCAACAAAGGGTCATCAACAGCAGCAGGGAAGGACCATTGAACTATTACCAATAGGATTATTATCTACTTGAGGGATGGAGGTCTGGGGAGCTGCCCCAGTGCCTTGGTGAATAGAGACCATGGTATCTCATCAGTGTGAATCCCAAGTCAGCCCCTTCTGGCTCTGACCTCAGCAAAAGCTACATGCTTTCTACCTCAACTTTCTCCCTGTAAAATGGGATTGGGGTCGTGTCCCACACTGGTGGCCCATGTGCCGGCTGAGGTGGTGCAGGCCTGCTGTGAGACATCAGGAGCTGATGTTACCTGCAGCCAGGGAGGTTTTGAGGGGGTGTGGGGCCAACCATGCAAGGGGCTGCATTTCTTAGGGCCAAGGCTGGTTTAATGCAGGCCAACATGGAGTGACGTGATGGTTAATTTCATGCATCTGCTTGGCTTGGCTCTGGTGCCCATTTATTTAGTCAAACACCAGAGTTGATGCTGCCAGGAAGGTATATTTTAGTCGTGAATAACATTTAACAGTGAAATCAGCAAACTGAGTAAAGCAGATGACCGTCCATACTGTGGCTGGGCATCATCCGGTCACGGGAGGACATTATGAGCAAGGACTTCCCCAAGGTTTCCCAGAGAAGGAGGAATTTAGCCTCCACACTGCACCATAGAAATCCTGCTGCATTGAGGAATTCTGAATTAAGACTGAATAGCAACTCTCACCCTAATTTTTGGACTGCCAGCCAAAAACTACAGGTCTTGGACTCGCCAGCCCCCACAATCATGGGAGCCAGTTCTTTACAATTGATCTCTCTTCTCTTTATATATATCGCTGATTATTTGTTTCTCTAGTGACCCCTGATGAATGAAGCAAGGATCACAACAAGGTCAGGGGCTGCCTTTTAATTATACCTGCACCCCAGGAGGGAGGCTGCAGATGGAGTCCCCCAAAAAACTTGGTCACCAGCCCGGGAGCCCCAGTGGCATTGCCAACTTCTACTCGGGCCACCGCCACCCCGGTTTCCAGCTGTCTTCCTTGCAGCCCCCACTCCTGGGGGCCCTTTCTCAGCCCAGTTCCAGTCCTTCCTATTGGATTCCAGTGCCCGGTTTTTCTCTCTGGGACCAGTTCCCCCATCTCCATGCCGGCCCTCAGGTCTCAGAAGGAAATCTTGTGAAGAACCACGAGTGGCTCTGAAGTATGCTGTACAATATAAAATTTATTATAAAACTCCAGCAAATATAAATATCCAAGTGCCCAGGCTGAATGGAGCTCCATGGTGAGGAAGGAGGATGCAAAGCGGCCCCAGCAGCCCAGAGGATGTGGGAGGCTCGCCGCACCGCATTTCATGGGGAAGTGGGTGGCCATCTCCCTGGATGGGCCTCACAAGGACTACCGAAGTGACAGACAAAGCTTTAAAAAAAAACCCACAACACACAAAAATAAAACATGGGGTTCTAAGGTTATCCCGTCGGCTGACATCTGTCCCATCAGGACCAACCATGGCCTCTTAAGAACAGCAGGGTTTGGTGTACCTGGTAATGCGCTAAATCTGCTATGACTTGTGAGGAAGAGGAGCATTAGAAGGGCATCTAAACAGGACTGCTCACTTGTAAATAACCGAGAAAGATAAAACAAAGTATCAGAACTCTCTCCTCCAGCACTCGGGTCTGCAAGGACAGAAGCACCTTGGGGGGATCTCACTTTTCCCATTTCCAGGAGCAACACCTCAGATCAGCACACTGAGGCCCGCCTCTCCCCAGCAGGACACAGACCACACTCAGCTCCCATCCCCACACCAGGACCCTGTGAAGAGAAACTCTCGGCTGCTGGGGCAGAGAGAGGAGGCGTAGGGACGGAGCCAGGCGCTGCCCCCCGGCCCTGCTTCTCCAGGGCAGAAGCGTTTATTCCTGACACCAGGAAGGGGTCTCCAAGGTGGGAGGGGGCCAGCTTACTCTCTGGTAGATAATTTTGTACTGATTCCTATTTCATGACCTTTCTTTGAACAAAGCACCACACATTTATCTTTTAGCAAGTTTAAGCACCGCCAGTCTTTTTTACTTGATTTAGCTGAAATGCAAACCCTTTTTGACTTGATTTAGCTGAACTGCAATTTCTGCAGGAAACTGCTCCCTCCTGCAGAGCGGGCCCTCCTGCCTGCATCCATGCTTCAATCCAACATGATAGTGTGCATTTGTGTGCACAGGGATGCACTCCCACTCCTGGCTCACACCCACACCCTGCACAGTGTTATCCAAGAGCCTAACACAGGGCTCCGTCCCCCGTCTTCCGTCTTCCATGATACTGCCAATGTAGACCGCACAGCTCAGGTATGCTGAAAACAGGCACCCCTTTGCCCAGGGAGGGGCTCCGACTGGGCTCACAGGTTGGACGTGGAGCAAGCCCTGCAGCACTGCTCGCCGTAGAACTGGTGGCTGCACATGCCGTGCTGGGGCACCAAGGGGCACCAGTGGAAGTGGTCCTGGCAGAAGGCACCTGAAAGCGAGCAAACCCAGTAGTCAGCCTTCCTCAGCCCCGTGTCCCATGCTGGCATGTCCAGGTGAATCTGTCGTTGCTCTGGAGCTGCTGAAGGGAGGCAGCCCTTCAGGTAAAATGGGAACTTGGTGTTTTCACAGGACCCTTCTTGGAAGGTCCCCACAAGGGTGCATGTTCTCCCTTCTGGGCTCAGCCTGTCTGCTCAGCCACTCCCACCCCCAGGACAGAGGGCTCTGCTGGCTGAGCTTCCTGTCCAGTCCTAACCGAGCCAGCCCACACGCTGTCCTCCAGCTCACTGTTGCTCTGGGGAACCTTGACACAGACAGGCCGCTGGTCTCTGCAGACGCCTGAGGCATCTGAGGGCACGGGCACAGGGTGATGTTCAGAGAGCACCCAGTGAATGAGGTGGGCTCTTCTTCAACTTAGGGGAGAAAGGCTGTTGATTTAGAATTACCTTCTTTGAATATAGCGAATAGTACCTACATCAAAAGCGATTATAATTTCCTAAAGCTATTCTTATTTTACAACCACTGATGTCATTTCTGGGTCTGCTTTGTGGCCCATTTCATGGGCAAACCGGAGGAGAGGATGGAAAGAGGAAACTGTAGCAGACTCCAGACACACCTCGCCAGGTCCTCTAGGGAACTGCCCCTCGATCTGAACACCCACTGCGGAGTGCCCAGGTCAGCTGAGGTGCCCCGGGCGCTCACCTTTCTTGTCTGCGATGGGGCAGAAGTGAGTGTTGCAGGCCAGGGAGGCTGCAGGCTTCTGGGGAATGAAGCAGCCCAAGGCCGGCCGGCCCCCTGCCAGGCACCGCACGGACCGCGTCTGCACGCCACCCCCACAGCTGGCTGTGCACTGCAAGACACACATACGTACATCACCTGGGGCCCTCGGGCACTCCGTCTTCCCAGCTTCCCCCCAACCCAGACTCTTTAAGGGGGGCTCTCTATGATCGTGGGGGCTGACCAGATTCTGGATGAATCCCACGTATGGACAGGGGGCAGAAGTGCCTGAAGTCTAGAATGTTGTTAAGTCATTCTTGATCTGATGGACACAGGAAAGTGGCACAAATCTGGGGATATCAGGGTCACTCCCTGGACCTGTCCGGGCTGTGCATCTGCCACCAAGAACAATGCTCTTCGGGAACACTGTCACCAGGTCGCCCTTTCTGGTGGTCCTGACCTGGAAATGCTTGCTGAGCCAATCCACAGAGGCGTGATGAAACCAAGCCCCCTCTTGACCCCAGGCTCACAGAGTCCGACTGCCCAGAGGTGGTGACCCCAGCTGCACAGGTCATCGCATCCTCCCAAGGGCTTTGTTCCCTGACACAGTGGGCCACCCGTCTTCTAAGGCACACAGCACAGGGGCCCTGGATGCAGGGAGTGGTATGGCTAGATCATCTCACTAGCTGGCCTGGTGCACACACACAGACCATATGAGTGGGCGTATCTGAAATCCACTGCAGGCAAGGAACAGGGATGCAGGGATACAGAGGAACCCAAACCTGCGGCAATTAATCTGTCCAAGAAAAGCTCTTGAAGTCTAGACTGAATTACGTAAATTGTGCTCAAACAAGTCCACTGGTTCAAAAATGTCAGGAATGCAGGCAGTTAGGGAGCACCTGCAAGAAGCTGGGGTCAGGACAGGACAGTGTGGCTGTCCTGGTGTGGGGTGGCCAAGCTAAACAGTTGCTTTAAAATGCAAGGATAAATCTGTGCAGAACTGGGGAAATACATGACTCAGGCTGCTTGCCAAAATGCACAAGGCAGTGTGCCAGACCCCATCCCAGAGAGTTAAGGCGCCTGGGGCTGGTTTCCACAGAAAAACTCAGCCTACAGGTAAGCAGCCAGACAATTTCCTGCCTCATTCTCAGGCCCTGCTGCAATCGGAGGCTTGAGAAGTGGCTTCTTGAATCCCTGGGGACCCAGCCAGTAAAGCATCTTTGATGCCGCTTGAGAGGAGAAGTTGGAAACAGAATCCTGAAAAATAATAAGCTGAAGAAATTGTCCTTTCTTTTTTTCTTCTTTAGGTAAAGATGGCTGGGTCCCTGGAGATGAAAATGCAGAGATTCAGATGATAAACATGTGGGTCTGAAACATTTCCGTGAGGCTTACCCATTCTCTTCAAAGACAATTTCAGCAAAAGTCATCAAAGTTCAGTTTTATACATGAGTGTGGCAATCAGAAAAAAAATAATGTGGTGGGCAGATTCTCATCTGAATTATCAGACTCATCCATGAAGGAGCCAGACGTTCCCTGCTGCCTACTTATATCCCTCTGCACATCCTGGCAGAGCCACAGATTGGGTCTTCGTGCTCTGCACTCGGCACTTCAGACCCTCCCTCAGCTGGCACTCTGACCCGGGCTGGGCGGAGGCTCCTAGGTTCTCACTGGCCACATGCACAGCCACAGATGTCCACAACCTCTCTGCCCCAAGAGCTGAATTTCTTTCACCAGCAGCAGCTGGGGCAGAATCCCAGTCTTGCTAATGAGATGCCTGAATTAGGAATCAAGAGATCTAACTGCCATTTTTCATCACTTACAGAGTGCCAAAATAATTAGTTGGTGGTTTGAGTCTTTTTGCTAATGATCCACTTATTCACAAATAGGAATCGCTGTCTTCCATGACCCAGGCACTGACCTGGGGACTGGGCACCAGTGGGGAACACAGTCACCCACCCCTTCCTCGGGCATTCACAGACCAGCCCCACTCACGCTCCTCCCGGAGCCGGAGCCCGGCCCTCCGCTGGGAGCCTGTGAGCACCTCCAGCCCACCAGCCCTGCCTCCCCAGCCTCTGCCCCAGAGTCCGCAAACCCCAGATGATCCGTGTGCACACCCAGTTTGAGAAGCACTGGTCTAGTCTTACAATTTCCTTTGAGAAAAATATCTTTGGTGGAAAGTCTCTGAATGTCTCAAAATCTGCATTTCTTCCTGTGAACTGAAAGAGCGGAGATGTCCAGCTGCACATTCTGAAAACGCTCTGCACAGACCGAGCCAGTGCCACAGCAGGAGAGGGGAGAGGGAGAAGCCCCCTGAAAACAAGGAGTCACTTGTCTTTCCAGGAGAGAAAATGCAAGCTCTTCATTCCTGTCACAAGCATAATGCCTTAAAACTCCACACAGGTGTTTAGGGTTCACATTCCGGATTTTCCGTGGGATCTGAGATTCCCAAACAAGCTGACCGCAAGAAGCTCATGGAGCCCTTCACCAGACTGCAGACCCCTGGGGTGCGGACCAAGGATGAAAGGGGCTGGGGAGCGCCCACAGGAGCCTCGTCTCGAGTGCAAGCCATAAGCACAGTGGCAGCCGCTCTGCGGTATCTGTGCAGGTGTGCCTCCTACTTGAGTGAAGCTCCCCAGGGCCGAGGCTGGGCCGTGGGTGGGGGATTCTGTCTACTGATACCTCCTCTGCCTCTTGTCCTTCAACTCAACAGGCCTGCCTCCTTTAAGAGGGCCTGAGGGCTTTTACAGGGGGCCAGGGGCTCTCCCAGGACTTCCCCACTACGGAGTCAGATGGGGAAGGAGTCAAGGTAAGATCCGAGGGAGCGGGGCCCAAGGTCGGCAAGCGGGTCTTTTGCCAAGCTGATTAAATGGCCTTCTCTGGGGCCACAGCCCCTGCTGCTTCACACACGGACCCCGTGCTGGCTTCCCTGCCCTGGAACTGCCTCTGCAGGTCGCCTTCGTCCTGGGCTTCCAGGGAGTCTGACTGAAGACATCCACCAAACACACATTTTCTAGACACTTCAGTGCTGCAAAGCCCTGCTTCCTGGATTTCTTCTGCTCCTGTGTGAACAGCCACATCTGTGTCTGTCCAGAGCTGCCACGTAAACTCCGGGTAGATGAGCATGCAAAATGGATAATGACTCCATAATGACAGAGGTTATTACCAAAAACCAATGTCAATGCATATTTAAATAATGTTTGCCTCTAGGCTTCTTTTGTGTCATTTGTCTTTGTGGAGAAAGGCTGGTGGGGGGTGATGGCTGCTGATCTCTAGTCACTGATGCTCTGCTTGGCCTTCGTAAGAGGTGCATGTCCACCACTCACAGTCACCAGGATCATTAAAGCCATGGGGCTTCCGTCAGGCAAAGTTCATCTCTCAGACTCCAAGCATAGTAAGTAAACAAACTAATGGTCACTCCTGAGAGCGAAGGCTTCCTCCTTCTTGTCTCTCTCGGAGCCCCTGAAAGTTCCTCCTCTTACTTCTCATCTTCCTGGGGACCTCAGTGGGGCGTCCTCTTTCCCAGCCTGGAGCTTCCACCCGCTGTGGCTTCCCCACTTCCCCCAGAACTAGATGGCTCCTCTGCCCAGCACGGGGTACACAGACCTCTGCGGCCTCATCCTCTCACCGTCTGCTCTAAACTTCAGTGGGGCTAGGGAGTTCTGTGTGAATTCAGTTGCTTACAAATACAAACACCCTCAAACCCAGGCAGGATGCACTTCAACCTTACAATGTCAACATCAGCAAGACAGCACCATGTCCCTGAGTACTTCCCTAAGTGGAAGGTGGCGAGAGCACTTTCAACAGAAATGATTAGAGGTGGGCATCTGGGGGCAGGGCAGTGGCCTGGGATGGAGCAGATACATTCACAAGCCTCCAAATCAAGTCTCCATGTGCATGCTCACATGCGTGCCCATGTGCGTGTGTGGGTGCTCGTGTGCATATTCATCATGTGCCCACATGTGAGCCCAAGTGCATACTCTTGTATGTGCCCATGCGCATGTCTGTGTGCGTGCATTTGATGGGACTTTGATACAACTGTGGTTTAATTGGCACGGAGGAAAACCTTATGGGTCTTCTGTGACACGGCTCCTTGCCCCTCAGAGTCCATATGTTTCCAGGCCATTCTGTGCACAGTTTTGCTGAAGAACCTAAGTGGTCCAGGGCCCCTGTACCCCAGCACAGAGGACATACCCCGTACCTGACACATAGAACCTGACAGACAGGCCAAGAGCTGTTCACACTTAAGCCATTCCCAGACCAAAGTAGCCTGTGAACCACCTGACACTCAGCCCAAGTGACCCTGATTTAAGTCAGTCGTACCTGGCAGAGTACCATTAAATGTGGTGATAAGCAAAACCATTTAAATCAACAGAAACCCTGCAGATCACGTAACAGAAGCCACAGTCTTTCAACTGTTACAAGAATAAACCTGTCTGGGGGCAGAGTTCAGCCAGGCACTGGCCATTTATTATGGCTCAGACAAGTTCCCACAGTTTGGGGGCACCTCTTGGGTACGAGTCCTTAGGAGAAATGGAGCCCTGTGAGTCACTGCTCCCTGCAAGTGACAGTCTTAGAACATAATAGATGAGTCACAGTGGATAAACACTTCAGGCAGCTTATGATAAAAATGACTTATTAGACAAGCAGATTGAATATTTCAGACCAGTAAAAGCTCTGCAAGATTGGTTTAAATTAAGTAACGATCAACCTTGTTTTTCTCTTTCTAAATATGCCTGGAGTCTGAGAATGGAGCGGAGTGGGGTGGGCACTTGCCGGGCGGCCAGCAGGCGGGGAACTGCTTCTGTTCCGGGAGCCTCCGTTTCCCCTCTGACACAGGGGAACAGCTGTGGAGACCACCTCTGTCTCTTCTGACCCACACTTCTCCAGGGACAGAGAAGACAAGGCGTCTGCCCGGAAGTGGCTCGGCTCAGCTTCTCAGCTCAGAAGATAGTTAAAGAGTGTCTACTGATCCTGTCTATTTAAAATAGGAGAGGCTGGAAAAGGATATAATGCAAATGTCCCCTGCTCCGCGGTGGCAGGCCAGGCATCATGGGTCTGCAGGAGGCTTACGGATCTCTAGCCAGGCCCATGCTCACACATGCACAGCCAGAGTCTGCGACTACATTCAAATTACAGTTATGTGCGATTTTTGCTCTGCCACCTCACGTCCTTCATTTCAGGGTCGTTGAGGGTGGGGAGGGTTAGAGCATTGCTAGTCGGCAGTGTTGACGGCAGGCGCACTGGTGCTGAGCTGGGTGAGCCTAGTCCGCGGGGAATCGGGAAGGGCCAGAGACCAGCACCCTGTGGCCGCTCCCAGCAGGGGGGCTGTGATGAATGGAGCCTTGAGGTGTTCCTCCGAGTCCCCTGTCTCTTCTGGCAGAGAAGCCGTGGGGGGCAGGCTCCCTGGCTCTGGTTCCCAAGCCCTCGGTCCTCGCCAAGTCTGGGCAACGAGGAACGTGAAGTTAAATCCTGCACAGACCTTGCCCGCCAGGAGCTCAGGCAGACCTTGCCTCTGGGAGGGGGCGGAAGAAACAACAGGACAAGGACACAAACCAGCGCCACGTGAGTTGCCGGGGGGCGCTGCTGGGACAGGTCACCACAAAGCGGGCAGTTAAGCTGCGGAGCCCACGCTCACCGTCCGGAAGCCTGAAGCCAGGGTGTTGGCAGAAGCTGTGTTCCTCCTGCAGGTTCTGGGGGAGAACCTGCCCGTGCCGTCTCCGGGGTCTGCTGGCCGCTGGTGGTCCCGGCATTCCTTGGCTGGTAGCTGCACCTTTTGTCCCTGGTCTTTCCTGTGTGAGTCTCTGAGTCTTCACACGGCCTTATAAGGTACTAGTCACTGGGTTTAGGGTCTGCCCCACTCCAGGATGACCTCATCTTAACTAATTACTTCCCAAAGGCCCCACTTGCAACGAAGATCACATTGTGAGGTTCTGGGTGGACACGGGTTTTCCAGATGTTGCTGAATGCAGGACATTATTGATGACATATGGAAAGGTGCCACTCTTGAGAAAAGCCATACACAGTGACAGGCCCGTTAGGGGGGCTCAGGACAGGGATTTTGTGTCACTAGAGAGTACAGAAGGGCCATAGAGCATGGCTGGGGGCCTCCAGCGTAGAGGCTCACCTCAGAGGAAGGGGAAGCCTGTGGGCAGGTGGGAGGAGAGCTGGTCGGCCAGGTGCTAAGGCCCCGCCTGGCTGTGGTTCTGTGGGCAGCTCAGCTCGGCCTGCCTGGGCCCAGGCTGGTGTGCTCAGGAAAAGCTTGTCCCTGCAGGCACTGATCTCCAGCACAGGACACTGACATCCCCTCCAGGACACGTGGTGCAGACAAGTGGGAAGCAGCCTGCTCCATTGGTAGGTCTATAACAATTGTTCTATTTTTTACAAGCACTTTCCCCCAACCCCCCAAATTGGTTACAGTTTCTGTGGAGCTGGGGGCACAGCAGCCTGGCTGGGAAACGAACCGTGGACCACTCATCGTGAGCTTGTCCGGCCACCTCCTCTGCTTTCTCTGAGAGGCCTCCTCCCTCATTTGACCAGGTACATAGCCTTGCGGGAGGGCCTCCAAGACCGCAGCCAGGCCTCATGGGTTGGGTGTGTCTGCCTCAGCTTCAGTCCCAGTAAGCGGGAGGAAGCAGGTGGTGGACAAGGACTGCCTCTGGTTTTTAAAGACGATGCCACTACGCATGGGTCTCCCACCGGAGTGTGCAACATGGACAGGTAGTGACAATGGGTGTCCCACCAGAGTGTGCAACATGGACAGGTAGTGACAACGGGTGTCCCACCAGAGTGTGCAATGTGGACAGGCAGTGACAACGAAACCCTGAGCCCAGTGTGCACTTTGTCGTCCCAGAGAGAGGGAAGGTCTGGAAGCCCTGATAGTTATGGGGGATTCTTTTTTTTTAATTTGGTGCTGGACTTAGGCTTTGATTGCCCAGGCATCCATTTTAAAGAGCTGTCCCTTCAAAAAGGGCTGTCTGAATAAACACAGCGCGGGCCACTAGGTACAGAGCCAGGCTGCCTCCCTCTGACGCCCCTTTGCATTCCAGAGCTTGGCTGATTTCCAGAGTGGGTCATCTGGGCCACTTATTCCTTTCTCTTCCTGTGCTTTAAATTCCTGCTCCTATGTTTTAAATTTGCCAATAAAGAGTGAGCCTGAACTCTCTGCATAGCCTAGGCTCCCACCTACCACCCAATGATTGTAGACCCCCAGGCCTTGTGCCCCAACCCCGTGACCTGGCTATGCAGCTTTGGGTGTGTAATTTCCAGGTCTTGTAAGCAATAAACCTTAATTTTTTCAAAGTTTCCTGATGATTATTACTGAAGGTCCTCTTGTGATCATAGTAAGAACCACAAGGGCAGGTCCAGCCACAACAGAGGTTGTTGACAGGCTGGGACCAGCACACAACAGTTTTCTGAATGAGGACCAGGAGTAGCTGCCTTGACTCACTCAATGAATGTTCTTTCTTTAAAATTCACATATTCAGGCAACATTTCCTGAATATTTAGCATGGGCTTGGTGCACTGGGGGATATATATATGTGTATATGATGCATATACACACATACACATGTGCAAATCTATAGAAGATACATGTAACACACTTAGCATAACCCTTTTGGCAGAACAGTCTCTGGGTAAACATCAGTCCCAATGGTTTTGTGACCTTGTCTGCTTGCAAGCAGCTTCTTCCATCCAGGCGGGCAGCTTGACCTTTGATGACCTCACCAGGCTGGAGGACCGATGGGGCACGATTCCAGGACATAGTCTATTGTCTGTCCATGCTTCCTTTTAGCCAGGACACCCAGTAAGCTTGGGGATGTAGGCCACTGTCCCCGGGAGGGCAACCCTGGTCTCCATGGGATGGGCTGGCTATGCAGAGAGCACAGGGCCAGTGCAGGCGCCAAGGGGAGGTGTGCCACGAAAACAAGTGCACAAGTGGGCAAACAGGACGCAGGCCCCTGTCCAGGCACAGGCGAGCTGGCAGGCAGGGAGGCTGTGCCATATGCTGCTCACTGGGTCACTCCTCAGCACTAGGCTTGGAGCAGACCTTTCAGGAAATGTTTTTGGAAACAGATGAAGCCTCGTGAAAATGCCTTTGAAAGTGATGGATGGCGGACATCATCAGCTCTGTGTTCTTGGGATCAGTGGCTGGCATCAGTGAGGGTCACCTGGGTGGGTCAACAGGGCCCTCTGTGGTCTGGGCATCTTGGGGGCTCAGTGCCCCCAGGTCTAACTAACAGGGCTTCTTCCCCTGTGCTATTGGGACAGATTATACCTGATACGGTTATGAAACCCTGGCCCAGAACCAAGGTGCTTTTATAAGGTGGGGAACCAGAAGCCTGACAGTGCCATCGTTTGCATTCACTTCTTAAAAACCAACATTCAGCACGTGACATAGGCTCTGACCTGGGCTTTGTCCTGCCACCCTCGCCCATGATGGGCAGTGCCCTCGTGCCTTCTAGCAGGGTGCCCAGGGGCCAGGCTGAGGATGAAGGAAGGGGACCTGGTGACTGTCCCCCAAATCACACAGCACGTGTGAGCCCCGCCGAGTGGGCTAGCTCCTGCCTCTCCCTGGTTCTGTGCCTCGGCTTCCTCATCTGTGAAAGTGGGGTGATGATGTGACCTCCCTCATCAGGCTGCTGGGTGGGATGAGTCAGGATGCCCAGAGCAGGGCTGGCACGTGGGGGCTTTTAGCAGGAGGTAGCAGCCTTCCACTGCCTTTACCCCCGAGCCTGGCAGCACACCTCCGCTGGGGACCCCAAAGTGCGTTCCAGGGAGGGAGCAAGGACTCCCTGCAAGGTGGCCTCAGCACAGGGGACACCGGCTGGCTGCCACTGCACTCCCTACCCCTCTGCTTGCCCGTGTCCTTCCACTTTCATCTCTTCGGAAGGAGAGATTCAGAGATGGGGCCTTTGCCGGGCGGTCAGAGCTCACTGCCCGGACAGGCGGACAGATGGGAAGGTCACAAAGTGCTCCCCCACCAACTCGTGCGGTGGGCACGAATTCAGGCAGACGCAAGCCGTGCTAGCACTCCGGGTTCGCCCTGTGGGAATGGCCTAAGACGCATCAGCCCCTTGCACTGCCTGGGCCTGGCTCCTGCCCAGCTGAGAGCTGCAGGGGTGCAGGGCATGGACCCCTCACAGGACCAAACCAGAGCCGGCAAGGGAGAAGCAGGGCAGGCAGGGGCCACGTTCAGGGGAGGGCTGCGGGACCCAAAGCAGGAGAGCGTGAGGCAGGAGGGCGGCCCCCGTGGGACGGCAGGATCAGCCCGCAGAGCGCGGTGGGAAGCGGCCCAGGCGGGCCCATCCAGGGCCTGCACATGACGGGACAGCTCCAGCATGGCTGCTCCGCTCTCGCCTGCCTAGTGGGGCTGGCGGGGCTGGTGTGATCTTATAAGCGGCTACTTGACCCACATCTCATGTTTCTTTCCTCTTCACATTCACTGCTGGGGAATTCTGCCCAGTTTTCACCAAAAACATTTCTTACACTTAACTGGGAGAGGATTTAGGACACAGCACCCATGCCTGGAAAGTTCTGTAACATTTGGAGACCATCCTTGGAAATCCACACCCACACCCAGGAAGCACTGTGAAGAGAAGGGTCAGGAGGCTGCTTGGGGGCCTTGGGGTACACCCTCAAAGAAACTCCCCTGCCTGCCAGCCACCACCTCCCGAGAGGGCTCTGCCCACCTGCTCTTTGGGAACTCAGAGCCGCCCTTACCTGAGACCAGGGCGAGGCAACCCAGCTGGCACGCGGGGGGCCTCCAGCTGCATACAGACGGTGCTTGGGGCAGGGAAACAGGGTGCAGGGGCGTTCCAGCTCCAGCCCGGGCTGCGGCAAGTGCAAGCACTTCTTGGAGGCCAGCTCTCGGTACTTTCCGGAAATGTACTTTTCAGCACATTTTAAGAATCTCCTTTGTGCCCCTCGTTCACATGTGGCAGAGCACTGAAAGCAGAAGGAGAGGGGAGGGGGCAGTGGCAGCTTGGACTCCTGGGCTGCCGGTGTCTCTCCCACAAGCAGGCCCGAACTGCCTCCTGACCCTGTTAGCTTGAACATTTCTGTCAGTTTAAACATTCAATGAAATCTATTGACCTTGGCATTTGAAAAAGGCATCGCGGTACCTGGCATAAAAGAGGAGGATCCTCAGGCCACAGTGGCACAGCTTATGAGGGCACAAGCAGGGCAGGCCAGTCGGAACCCATGACTGAGTGAACCTGAAGCTCTCTTTTCACTGGCAAGGGAAACACCTGGCTGTAGCTGATGTCAGAGCGCTTGGAAATACAACACGGGAGGACATGAAGCCAGCCCAGAGCCCCATGGAGCGACACCGTTGGCCCCTGAAACGGGCAGGCAGAGGAAAGCCAGGGCTCTCAAACCTTCCCCAGGGAGCTGAATGCAGCCCAGGAAGAGCAAGCACACTCGGAGAGCAAACCCATTCGTGACAGGCCAGGCTCGCCCTAAGCCTGAGCTATCACTGCTGCACCCACCCTGCCCGGGCAGAGGGGCCCCGGGCACACCGGCAGGCCAGTTTGCACAAGGCTGCAGCTGGTGACACCCAGGAGCAAGGCATCCTGCTGTGCCGTGAGGCTGGGCTCGGGGTGTCGGAGAGAGGGCCATGGCCTGGGGCTGCTGCCTGGCCAAGGGCTCAGGGGACTGCTGAGCCTGAGGGGGAAATTCCAGCTGGGCTGCAGCCTCTCTGGGTTACCTGCGTGGAGGGGCCCGGGTTCTGGCTTCGCTTGCTCACACTGAGGCTGACAGGTGTGCTCTGAGTGTGCCTTAGGCCAACGAGGAGATGGTGCTGGAAGATTCTTCTGGGTGGCTTCCTGGGACCCTGCCTAGGAGAAGCCCTAGTATGTGAGTGTGCATGGGTGTGTGTGTGTTTCATATGCAGGGTGAGGACATTCCATGTGCCCTCTGCTCACAGGCTATATGGCCCTAAGACTTCCTTCCCATGGACTCTGTCTTCAGAGATGTGCATGGAGATGTCTTCCCAGATGTCATCAGGATTCGGCCCCAGGAGACCCTGACATCTCTGTGCCAGACAGAATGTGGGGACCTTTGGTAGCAGTGCAAGCTTACTTCAGGGACCGTGGCAGTGTTTTCATTTTTCAGTGGCAAGTTAAAGCACTGCCTCAATGGGGCCAAGAGCCTCGCTTGGCATGGCCATCCTTTCTTGGGCCAATGCATCAGCCACCCTGAACAGGGTGCCACTAGAGGCATGCTGGGAACGGGGCCTGTCTGCCCCTGAGGAGCAGGGAAGGGGGAGCTTTCTCCCAGGGTCACTGCAGAAGCACAGATGGTCGGCTCTGGGATCAGGGGGGCCATCTCTCAGTTCCCCTTTAGAAGGGTCCCCTCTGGGTAGGGTGCTGTCCTGAGGGTTGTTAGCTACCTGATGCTTTTCAGTGTATGGAAAGCTATGCCCAAGGGGACGCACTCCCTACTAAGGGGCTTCCAATGCGCCCCTCAGGCAGCCCCTGTGCACACAGTGGCAGGGGACGGGCCAAGGGCCTTCCTGATGCCATGCCTGGTGTGTGGGGGGCCAGACACAGGGGTGGCCCTGTCTGCACCCTGATGGTGTCCCGCCCTCCCCTGGGCCAAAGCTTTAATGTTCCAAACACATGTCTCTAGATGTTTGTCCCCATAGAGCTGGCCTAGGAGAGCCCACAGGAAGCGTAGATAGGGCTGCTGGCCTTGAGCATACGAGGCCCACCGGAACCCATCTTAGGAGATGGGTGCACTGCCTCCTGCCAGGATGACGCACCCTCTCCCTGCACCCTCTCCCTGCTCCATGCCCCGTGAGCACTGCTGAGAAGGCTGCCCTGTCCTGGGACCAGGCCAGTGCCCCACTGTCAGTGTGATGAGGGCACACACCCGTTTGCCCACTCATCCTCACCTCAACACTGACAGAGTGATGACCTGGGGTGCCCCTGGGGGCATCATGGGAAAGCCAAAGGGGATGTCGAGGAGCAGGAAGCAATGCAATCAGATGAGAAGAGGCAGCCCTGAGGGGGAGCTGGTTGACCCCATTCCGTCTGGGCCAGGTGCACCTTCCTGGACCAGATGCACTTACCTGGGACCCAAAGCACCTACCTGAACCAGGTGCACCTGCTGGACCAGATCCATTTACCTGGACTGGGCACAACTGTCTGGACCAGGTGTACCTACCTGGATGGAGCACATGTACCTGGACCAGGTGCACCTACTAGGACCATACGAACCTACTTGGACCCGGACCATATACCTGTGCCAGGTACACTTACCTGGACTGGGTGTACCTACCTGGGAATAGGTGTTCCTCCCTGAACTAGGTGAGCCTACCTGGATGAAGAGTGTCTACCTGTATCAGGTGTACCTACCTGGGACCAGGAGGTCACAAGCCACTGCAGCTTTTTGAGCTTGTGGCAGCGCTTAAGCAGACAGGCTTCGTGAGTCTGGGGCTTGGGCTCTGAGCGGCAGACGGCGTGGGGCAGCAGCTGGGCCCTGGCTGCGGGTTGGGTACTCTTGCAGACCACAGTCCTCTTCCTCCACCCCTTCCCGCAGGTGTGCGAGCACTGCACAGGAAGAGGGGTCTCAGTTCCCACGAGGGGGCAATCAGAACCTGTCCTTAGAGGCCCCAGGCCACAGGCCCCGCAAGGCTGAGTGAGGGTCCAGCTCTGCCCCCAACGTTAACCTTGCCCAAGTTACCTCTGTCCAGGGCCCAGTGCTCCAAACAGGTGGGCAGTTCTGGGAGTGGCAGGCCTGTTGGCTGGAGGGTGCAGGCTGCGGACACAGGCTGGCTGAGACCCGCTCTGCTTTGTAGCGTGCCCGCCGTGTGCACTGGACCAGGCGCCTCTGGGTGCCCCCACCGCACGTCCGGCTGCAGGTGCTCCAGTTCCCCACGGACCAGCTGAGGGGACACAGGGACCCAGGGTGAGGGGCGCTGCCCCTCTGGGGCAGGATGGCCACGGCTGTGCAGAGTGGTGGTGGTTGCCCCACCATGGTCTCCACGGCTTCCTTGTCTGGCCCTGTGCCCACTGCCGCTCACTTTCCGGGTCAGCACTCCTGCTGGGTGGTCATCCCCTCCCCGGCTTTCAGGTTCACCAGTACCTGGAAACAACCCTCCTCAAAACCGTGGGTCTGTTCTCCCTTCAGCAGTTTTTTGAGTGGAAAACTTCAAACACATACACAAATAAAGGCCCTCTGCATCCCTATCCACCCACCTTCGAGGATCACCAAGCTATGCCCCTGAGCCCTATAGCATGTTCAGGAAATTCCAGATATGTAAAAATTTCAATATGCATGTTTAAATGATAAGGATCCTGTCATTTTTTTACCATAACCTCAATAAAGCACTAAGACATCTTAAAAATTAGTGATAATCCCTTAATATTATTAAGTGTTCAGTACTGCACTCCCAGTTCTCACAGATGCCATAATGTAATCTGCTTCTCTATATCAGAATCCAAATAGGGTCCACACTGCAACAGGCTGATAGGTCTTTCTTCTAGTCTGTGGCTTCTTCCACAGACCACCTTCCAAGAGGAGCCTCATGCCTGGTTATGGTTCTTTCGGCTTGTCAGCAGCTGTCGAGAATGTCATCTCTCAAGGCAACTCTTTTCTGGTTATGAAAGTTTTCCAAATAGACACATAGGCTGGCAGGTAACAGAGTTGGGAGGGAGTCGGGTCCAGGCTCAGCCCAATGGCATCACTCTTGGGTCCTTGCTAAGCCTGGGTGTGTCTACACAGCCATCTGCTGGCTTTGCACGAGTCCTTCTGCAGGGTGGCTTCCAATGCACAGTTGGGGCGGGGGTCCTCCCGGGCAGGAGAGAGGCGGGAGGGGAAGCTGGTCCAGTGAGAGGATTCATCTGGCCGGAAGGGAGGCCGTGGACTCCCTCCAGGGGACAGCCGTTTGGACTCTAAGAGGACTTGGTTTTCACCCATACTTGTCTTCCTGTTCAGGGCGTTTAAGCCCAAACTGAAAATTCTCTGGAAAACTATGGAGCTTGAGGGGCTCCACGATGGTGGTTCTGGGGAGAGTGCTGAAGGTCAGGAGAAGCTGTGGTCCTCGTTGGGCAGCACAGAGTGGCCGGCCCATGACCCCTGCTCTGTCCTGCATGCCCAGCACATCCCTTTAGGCCATGACAAGGGCCTCAAGGCCAGTGGAGCTCCGGGGACTGGGCACAAGGCTCGGCCTTGGGAGAGTCTATGAAGGTGGATGTTCTGTCTTCCTCCATGGGGTTCGGAGTATGTGTTCATATAAGGATGATTTCCTCCGACTCTTCAGGCGAGTTGGAGGATGTGTGAGGGTGCCCTTTTGGTGGCCCCCTTCTCTCCCCCTTACCAACACTGCACCTCGAGTTGCGAAACCAGAGAAAATGCCAAGATGCTGGGTCCAGACTCCCGAGCCTCCTGGTGCAGGCGGGAGAGGGGTGGGGACCCCGGAGCCTGTGAGCTCAGGCGGCACAGGGGGGCACAGGGGAGCAGCTGGATGCCCCCCGGGGTGGGCGTGGAGCTGGCCCCTCACCTTTGCTCCAGTGCATGCTCTCTCGCTCTGTGTAAATATATATTTTTAAGCATGGTTGAGGGCAGGCTTTTCACACACCACTTTTAAATTCAACATCTTAAATATTCAGTGTCTCACACAAGCATTTTTCTTGCATTGTGAAACCTGTGTAAACATATTTTCAGAGTCTCCAATATTTTGTGGTATGGACCAAGGTCTGTGAACCTCCAAATAAGGAAACGAGGCAGAAAGGATGAGGTTCCACACCCGGGAGGTCCACACACATCCTGAAATTGGGCTGGTTCTGGGTGTGCTGTGCCTGTCCAGATCCCTGCACACAATGACCAGGACCTTTCCTTGGTGTTCAAAGGCGTCCAGGGCCCAGATCGCTGGAAAGCCAGTCTCTGAACTCCTGAGAGAAGTTCTGAGGATGACCTGGTGGAGGAAGGATGGGGGGAAACTGGTGGGGCTCGCCGGGTGGGAAGAGAAGGGATCCATGAGCTGACGAAGCGGTGACCCTGCTTGTCTCTGTCCCTCCGTTTTTCCCAAGGCCATGGATGGGAACAACACAGAGGCTGCTATTACCCTGTCAGCCAACAGCTGGGCTTCTGAGTCAGGGCCTGAGGACCCAGCCACTGTCACCATGGCACTGCCCTAGCTGATGGCTCCCTGGCAGGGCATGCAGTTAGGGCCCTTTGTGCTGCTGGGAGAAGGGAAAGAATTTACAGCTGTTTCTCAGCACTTGAGGTGGGATTTCGGGGCACCATGTGTTCAATATGCAGTATCCCTAATTGCCAAAATTCATTAGTTGTTTCTTATGCAAATGACTCCTGGTTAAAAAAGGGAATAAACACAACTTTTGTTTTGGTAAATGTTTCCTTTGCAAATGCAAATTCCCAATAAGTATCTGGCTTGAGTAAATTCTCTGTCCTGAAGCACCACCCTGGCAGAAGCACTCAGACCCAGGCCAACCTGAGCACTGAACTCGGGCCTGCTGCTCCCTCGGAGCCGCCCGGAGCCATCCAAGGCTGTCTCGGGTTTAGCATCGGCAGGCCTCACAGAGGTCAAAGGACTGCTGGCTTCACTTCAGAAATGAGTTTCAATTTCTTCTCTGTTTTTTTCTATGAAGTGTCAAAGAGGAGCACTTGTTCTGCTTTCAGGAATGACCTTGACCTTCCAGGTAGCAGATGCCCATAACAATAACACTCGGAATGATGGCCGCACAATGTGAGAAGGCTGTGACACTCAGGCGGGCATGGCCGGGGTCAGTTCCAGGGGTACGTGTTGGACACGGGGAGCAGAGCATTGGTTGACACAGCTTTGATGGCACGAGTCTCGTCCATGCCCAGCAGCTGTCGGTGACATGCATGTTACCATAGTCATCACGTCTTTCAAGTAGGCCCCTCTTAATCAAACCATCCACTTGCATTTTCCTAAATGATCTTTAAAGTCCTCTGCAACTATCAACAGACCCTCACACATTCAAGTCCTCGATGTTCCAAACAGTCTTGATAATTCTCCTTCCTCAAAATTCCTTCATTGGAGGGTTTTCTCCCTGCAGACCACGGAGGGTATTTGCATTTCATTAACTCAAATGAAAAACTTGAGCTCATCAAAGGGAAAGGCAATCATTTGGTCCTGAACGATGGTGATGTGCTAGTTCTTTGTGAAAATGCCCCTTTCCAGTTCCCACAGAAGCCGGGGAAGGAGCCGGAGTGTCATACCTGGGAAGGACCTCATCAGTGACGGACCTTCACCAGGCCTGTCTCATGCGTGGAGAAACTGAGCCCCAAGAAGCAGGACACACACTGAGCTGGTGGCAGAGGCAGATGGGACCCCCCCCCCCACCCGCCCTGGGATGCCTCTCAGTGTCCATCCCTGTGCTACTTGAAGCCACCAGATCTCAGTGTGGGGGTGGTGATCCCTCGCTCCTCTCCCATCCCCATTTGGACCCAAGCACAGAGGCTGCTGTTTGTCCTACAGACACCTTGCTGTGATGTAGAAGAGACTGGGTGGCACCTCCAGACGTGGATGCGTTAGCCTTCAGGATGGGACTGCAGCTGAGTACCGACTGAGCAAGAGCTGCCTCCCCACTTTACAGGCTTCCCATCCCAGGTCCTCTGGCCCAAGGTGGCACAAGGGCTGGACGGACACTGAGCTGTCAGCCTGTGACCCACCAGTGTGGACAGAGCTTCCCAAGCTGCAGCTGGCTGGTGGCTCTCAAACCCTCGGGGTTCCATTCCATATGAGTCACAGGTGTGAGGTTGGGGTCAGGACAAAACCCTCAGACCTCAGCGCCGTGGTCAGATGACCAGAATGGGGGGGAACACGACTCTGAGAAATGCAACTGCCTGCTTTTCAGGGCAGCCCGGGCACTGGCCTCTGGAGTTCAGAGCTGCCTTGCCCCTCCGTGTACTAACCGTGAGTGGATGGTGTTTGTTAACTATTATGAGGACTAGGATGTCCCAGTAAACCCAGCGGTGGGGAGCTGGGTGCAAAGTTCCTCCAGAGAACAGACACCTTCATTCCCGTCACCGGTACAAACTGGACAAGCTCGCCCAGGCTCCTTGCTCCTGCATTTTAGGATGGTGCCCGGGGGCAGGCCCCAGCCTCAGACCCTGAGGCTGAGCTCCTGGGCGTCTCATGCGTGGAGAAAAAAAGTCACGCCGGCTGAGGCTCCTGCCCACGAAACGCCACTTCAGTACCAAAGTGGCCAAGGAGCTGGGTGGCAAGAGCTGCTCCTTAGTATATGACCCTTCTAACCCTGACATGGAAAGCTCTGGGGCTACAGGCAAAATGCCCATGATGATACCTTCCAAGCCTCCGTGCAACCCACCTTGGTACTGGGGAGACAGCACTGTACCAGGCTGGCTCTGCAGTGCAAGGTCTGTGAACTTATTTTGCTTGGACATGGCGTGTGGTGATAATGGATGTGTCCATACGTGGGGACACCATTCAGGTCACAAAGATCCCTCTTCCACCACCTTGCCACCCAAGCAGGCAGTGGGCTTCCACCATGCAGGACCAATTTAACTTCTTACAGGGCCTCCTCAGTCTCCTATGGGCAGGAAGGACACTGCAGCGGGATACTCCCTGGGTGCTTTTCTGTCCTGGGGGCCCTGAAGATCTGCTGTGCTCTGCAGCCCAGACATCCTGCCCCGACCGGCTGCACCATGCCCCTGGTTCGCTTCCAGCCTCCCGAGAGCTTTCTGCTCTGCTTACTCTGAACAGCCCTGTCCGAGTCCCCAGGCCTTCCACTCCCTTGATGAAACACCGGAGCCACTGCCTGTCATGCTGAGCCCTGGGGGATGGCCACCAGCCTTCTGCTGCCATCTGGCAGCACACGGGCACACACGGGACCTGCTGAGCCTGTGCCCAGGCTGCTGCCAGCCCAGGTCATTAAT